CAGAGGACGACCAGGGTCCCACGACAGTGCTGGTGCTCGACGAAGAATCGTCCTGAACAGGGGCGGTGGGCTCAATTCCTTGCGGAACCTGGAGGATCTCTTGAGACACTCTGGTGACGATCTGGGGCAAGGTGGAGTCAGTATTGGCCATTGCGCACTTGGATTCGGAACGATGTCGAATTTTCTTGCTTCGAACAGAATCAGACCTGCTTGAACTAGGCATGATGAGAAGCAAGAGGCACTGAGCCCCTCTTCAATAGCCGAGCCCCGAGAGGGCAAATTAGGGAGTGAGAAGCGACAGAAATTATCGCGTTTCGATCTCGAAGTCTTTGCCGAACGACTGACATATCTCATGACAAGTTTGACAAAAATATGGTAAGCTCAGATTCTGAGCAATAGACATCGAGGTGCAGATCGTCTCCAGATGTCAGGAACTAGAAGCAATCTGAGCGTCTCTACTGTGCCTCAAATGTCCCTCTCTCAAGCACTCCACGAATCTGCGTCGAATCCACGAGTCTCTGACTCGAGTCTGGCTGACTCGACGGAAATAACTCGGAAATTCTCATCGCATGCGAAAGACCTATTTATTCTAAGAAAATGAAGTCAGAGCGAACCGCAGCGAAAGGCTACACGGCCAATGGGGGAAAATGATGAGTATTGTCCATTTCACCTTTCGCTCCAGAGACTGAAGACCTCAGTCTGTAACGATCACTGACCGGTCACCACTTAACCCGTTCACAGTGTTTTCAGTATGACCCATATTCGGATGCCCTTCTGTGCTCAACCCTCTCCTGTGACTCGCTATATATAATATATAAGGACAATAAACCTCGGCCAGCTAAGGGGGAGCCCAAGACTGACTCTAGTATTCCATGTGATCATTCTAGCCGAGGTATCAACGAAATACAAACATCTCTTCAATGAGTTCGGCCCGCGGGTTTTAGCTTCTTTACCCCAGTATTTGAACATCTATGTTACGTGCTCAAAATCTGGTGAGCTAACGAAAAATTTGGTTCAGAAATGGTCTGAGGGGGTGTTCGGACCCGTTGTGGATCGCCTTCATGGGAAGAAGTGTGTACTCTATGTTGATTCGTGGGGTGGTCACACAGATGAGGACCTGTATGTCGTGGTCACATGGTGGTGTAGATGGACGTCTGACGTCCGAGGTGTGAGACGGACCTTTGAGGTGTAAGACGGATGTCGGAGGTGTGAGATGGATGTCGGAGGTGTAAGATATAGAGGAGTGTGTGACGAGTAGTCGGTGAGGACGGTCGCACAGCGACTGGAGGTCGGCTGTGGCGGTCCCTGTGTGTGTCAAATAAACTAGAGGTGTCAACCGTTGGTTCGTGAATACCGAGGTCTTCATTTGCCGTATCCCAGGAAGATAGCCCCCCGACATGTACAAGTTGCGCGATAAGACTAATCTGATAGAGGTTTTCCCGCCAGGCTCCACAAGCATCTTGCAACCACTGAACGTATTCTGCTTCCCTCAATGGAAAGATTTTGCGAAACGTGTAACGGAGAACTGTGTGCCCTACGACATCCGCACGGACCGACGAAACGATGTTCTCCGGTCGCAGTCCTTGATATTCAATCAGTTTTGTCATCCGCAATTCCGACCGATGTGGCTGTGTGCCTGGCGAAGAAGCAGTTTCGATGCTCCACGGGTGGAATTTCCGAGCCTAGCAGAGATGCTCTTCTATGTGAACGAAGCGTGTTCATCGGCGACCTGTTCACTGTGGCCCTTCATAATCTGCGGCTATTGTAAGGAGACACTATGTGTCAAGTATTTCTACGTCGATTATCATTTCTGCAACGAAAATACGCAATGAATGTATGGCCGTTCTATTGTCCGGGAGCCGGGAGGTCCAGTCGGCTTCCTTTTTCTCGGGCAGAGTGCTTTCCAGATCATCCGGCATCATTCTTGAATCCCTTCTTCGAGAAAACACCCTTTTACGGTGAAAAACCCTGGAAATACACCTCGGATTTATTCTCGGTGGGACTATCATCTGGGCAAAGTTTCAGAAAACTCGGCGTGGGGCAGTTCCTAATGTTCTCTTTGAGTGCACGGATTTATTTGTGTCACCAGATGGCGATCGATCGGGGGCGCCAAAATTGAAAGCTGTCATTTACGCATCTCGTTTGATCATCATATTATACTTGATACTCCCGCCAAGCGAGATGCCACAAGTTACACATTCAAATCACATGAACAGAGTATACAATACATTCAGGATCCTTGATGACTTGGGCTTCAGGCTCGGTCGGTGTTTGGCCTTCGAGCGTCGGACTCTCGGTTCCTCTTCCCGAATCCGCGTTGCTGACCTCGAGCGGGATTAGTAGGTGGACAGCGCGACGCGAGGTTCTCCCATTCTGGAACTTCACCGTATACGTTCGGATATGTTTGTCTCGGCCCTCGTGCGCCTCTATCACTCGTACCAAAGGATAATTTTGCCGGGGTCGATTATCGTCCACAAGTATGCACACGTCACCGATCTTGATCGACTGCGTCTCGTGACCCCAAGTCTGATTCGCTCCACGAAGCAAGGCAATGTATTCGCGCCACCACCTGACCGAAGGGGATTTGAAATACGTCGTTCGCTCCATAAGCTGTTTTCTCAGAGCGCCTCCCGCAGCGGGTTCGTCGTTGCGGAGCTCGTCGATCGGGAGAACGACAGACGTCTGCTAGCCAGCTGAGTAAACACGTGCGTAAGTCAGTGCTTCAGAAAATTCTGAAAAAACAGTGTTAGTGACGACGAAAACTATTGTGAGCGTTGCCAGAGTGATTCCCAGGAACCAGAGAAAAAACTGTGTGACTAAGAAGACCGGAGCAGTGCCCAATCACCGGTTTTGGGAATAAGCACAACCGGTGAGACTAAGTCTAACGACCGTCATAGTGAATAGGTGAAAAAACTACGAAACTATGGCAAATCAACAAGAACCAAGGTGGATGCAAAGGCCGACCGGGTCGGAGAAAAACTTCACGGTGGGGTGTGCCCAACACTGGCCCCGTCCTACACGGACAAAATGAGAGCGGATTACTGCTGCGCGTCGGAGGTAACAAAACTCAGGGACGAGATCACGGCCCTAAGACTGCAGCAGATGCACCTGCAACAAACCGAGATGGAACATGAGGATACCCTTCTCGGAGAAGATTATGCATCCTCATCGGGGGGAGCACAGCAGGTGCGAGCCCCGGAACGAGGCGCGGATGCAGAGAAGGAGGGACAGTCCGAACGGTTGACCGCAGAAATCAACTCGCCGGCAATACTGTTCTTCGGAGATAGGACCCTTGCGGCCCTCAGACGACCGAGAACCAAAGGCAACATATTTAGTGTCTTTGGTGGCTCGAAGTACGTCATATGGAGAGACCACCGGTCCAAATGCGTGAAAGAAACGTGCGCGGAGATAGTGAAAACAGTGGAACTGTACAAAGATACTGAGTTCCATGTAGTCATCTCATCAGGACTGAATGACATCGAAGAGGCGAAAAAAGATCACACAGTACTGACGGTCCAGGGAAAAATCCTGAAGCCGCTCAGAATACTGATAGCCATGATGACCCGGATAAAATGTGGATAACAATGATCGAGGACCCAAGATGTGGAGTCACGCCTAGTGTCAACCAGAGCATGGTCGAGTCGGAGCAAGTGCAGCAAGGAATGATTAAAGTCCTTGATGCCAGAGAAATGCCCCCAGAGGACTTCGTTCGCAGGCAAGCTAGAGACAACCCAGAGCCTCTACTGCCTGAATGACAAGGGAACGAAGGATCTAGAGATCCTCATTACCCAACACTTACGGGAGGTAGCCGGTTTCTCGTCCCGAGAAATGGAGATGAGGACCACAGCCGGAGCCACCGATTTTGAAGAGCGGAAGGAGTCGATTCGGAGACTGCTTGGGACCCCAATGCAGTCTCAGACTGACGACGCTGTGTTTGAGTACATGGCCGCAATGTTCCCTACCGTGGAGAAAACCACGATAAGGTTCAAGAGCAGGCCCCAAGTACAAGGATAAGAACCGAATCAACCGGGGACGTCCGGGGGAGACGGTCAAAACCCACGGAGAGAGCGAGACGAAAGATCCGTTCGATTCGACCCAAGAAAGAACAATAGGAAGAGATCAAGATCTAGGGCTCAGGGCGGACGAAACCGCAGCGGGAGCCGCGACAGATAACCGGTACCTTGTCAGCCTCGGGGACAATATGCGCCGCCGGAGGACAGACAATACCGAGGAAGACCACAGAAGAGATCCTTGGATAGACCTCGAGGGAGTTCCAAATCCCGAGAGGACTCCCGCAGAAGACCGCAACAAGTGTACTAACAACCACAACAGCGGCACCTGGAGCATCAACAACAACAACCGCAGCAACAAAACAGGAAGCCAGAAGACCTACCGGGCGGAGGACAGATCCGAACGGTAGGAGCACCACGACGCTCCTAACAGAAAGAGAACACGACACCATCGTCGAAGGGGAGGCCGGGCTGGCGAACGAACACATCCAGTGTCACTTCTGAGATTCGCTGCATTAAACCTTAATGGTGCGCGAACCCATAAGAAAAAATGGGCGATGGCTGAACAAGAACTACTACGCGACCACGGAACGGAAATACTGTTGGTAAGTGAATCTAGACTTATGGACAGAGAGAAACCTCCGAGAATCCGAGGATTCAAGTGGCTGGGGAAAAATAAGAATGGACCATCGGGGCGGTCAGCTTCCGGATGGATTAGATTATTTCATATGCAATGACGAGGTATTGAGAACTTGTCAAAGGATGGAAGTAGATGAAAAACGGGAATGTAGTGTCGCGTATCGACGACACGTAGATAGTGCCGCGTGAGGCCGGAGACGTGCAATGTGCAGTGCAACACTGTACCTGGAGAATCCGGAATAAACCACAGCGTGGCGTGCGCGTCTTGACCCAACAGTATTGGCGCAGTCGACTCATTCTCGGTGGAAAAAAAAACGGAGACCTGTGTTCACTCGAGGAAGCGTGGAAACCATGTCGAACATTCCAGCACCGCCACCGTTCTTGGCGTCGCCCGGGGAACCAACCATACCATGGGAAGACTGGTTCGAAGTCTTCTCGAGTTACCTGGTGGCACGAGGTGACGTGGTGCAAGACGATAGGAAACAAGCGCTGCTCATGTGCTGTCTCGGTATCGAGGGCCAAGCGCAGTACAGAGCCATCAGGGATCGACCGGTGGCGACATCCGACGGCCAGCCGTTACCAACAGAGTACGACAGAATGAAGGCTCGGCTGGCGATTCGATTCAGTGACACGAAGGGATTGACGGCCATTCGGTTCGAATTCCGTAATCGTCGTCAACTACCAGGCGAGCCGGTGATGGAGTTTGTGGCTGCATTGCGTCGGCTAATCACGAAATGTGCGTTTGTGAATTATGGACCAGATCAAGCTCTGAAGGAACAGATAGTCATCGGCTTGGCGGATGCGAAGATGAGGGAGCGCTTACTCATGGATGGAGATAATTACGAGGTTGAACAGGTGATAAACTCGGCGCTGAGAATGGAGAAATCGGCGAAAGAGGCTGGGATGTTAGCGGAGGTCCCCTCAGAGGCAGTCCTCGCGATTGAAAAGACGAATTCACGGCCAGTGGATCGATGTTCGAACTGTAGGAGATTGGACCATGATTCGTCATCAGCAGCGTGCCCGGCGAGAGAAGCGTCGTGCCGAGCGTGTCAACTCAAAGGACACTATGCGGGATGCTGTCCGGCGCTGAAGAAAGCGAATACGAGCAAGGTCAGGAATAAATCGTCCTTCGTGTATGCTTTGTCTCGTGATTCTGGCGAATTGAGCATTGAGATCAAACTGAACGATCGAAAAGTGAAATTCCTTGTCGACACAGGAGCAGGAGTCAGTATCGTTCAGCGGGATTTAGTTCGGAATCGATTGGGTGATCTCCGAAAGTGTGAAAGAAGTCTGAGAACATATTCGGGGGAACCGATCGAAATCTTAGGAGTATTGAAGTGTGAGCTCGAGTTCGAGGGAAGGCAATGCGAGTGCGAGGTCGTGGTGGTACCTTATGGGAGGTCGATTCTTGGAAGGGACGCGCAGGCGGGATTATCGTTGGAATTGCGTTACAATCGCGGGAACGTCGAATTAATTAACGAATTTATACTATCCAGGTCGAGAAGATTGAGAATGAGAGCACCATCAGAGGAGAATTTCCAACGGTTTTCTCGGAAAAGATGGGTGTTGTCAAGAATGTTCATAATTCAAACCTCGCGCGCGTTCCGATCCCATGGATAGCAGACAAAACTAAGAATAAAACAAGTTCGTACAGCGCGGTCTCGCGTAGAGCACATGCCTCGTGATTTCACCAAAAAATCACCTTGTCGCTTCCCGAGCGCGGAAGAATGAAAACACTGGTATTCGGATGTACCGATAATCTTCCGGTCGGTTAGGGATTAGGGATGAAACCCGGGGAGAAAAAGGGTTGAGGTTTGATCGCGGCTGCACCGTGTTATCTCAAAACGTTGTCTCTGTGCTCGTTCGATATCACACGAGCGCGTCAACCTCTCCTCTCCGCCAGGCGGCTCTCCCTCCGAGCGGTCGAGTTAATTTTATTCTAATACATTCATTTCTATCCACTATCGGCTGGTCGCCGGGTCGCTGATCCGCGACACTCTCCCCCCGTAGTCGGCACAAGGCGACTACTACCTAGAACCTGATTATGCCCAGACCTATCGCTAATTGAAACGACTCTCTGGACGAGCGGAGAAAAGTGAGCAGGTATACGAAGATCCGAAGCGTCCCAACCGCGCCGACCGCCGCGAGCGAGTCACGAGTGTATGCATTCTTACCGTGAGCGACTTCCGAAGGGTCGTCGCTCCGTACTGTTATTATTGTATTTCCAATGGGTAAAGAAGTTGTATCGGGCGCTTAAAGATGCGGCCGTCAGGGAATTTAACGAAGCAGGATCTCGGACGGGAGTCCGTTCGTCTGCCTCCGAAGAGAGCTGTTATTCTGACTAGAAGCCAACGTGCGCGGGAGGGGTTAGGGTCCTCCAAAAGACAAAGATCTCCCACCCTTAGAGGTCTCGGGTCAACTGGCTTCCGCCAGTGGGCCGACCTTAGGTAAGGGAGGTATTCCCTGAGAAATCGTCGCCAAAACGAATTCAAAATTGACTGCTGGTGCCTCCAGCGAGCTGAAAGGACTGCCGCACCCGTGGCTGTTGGCGAGATTGGATTGTTTCGCGTGTCTGGAAGTATCACTCTCGCTGGTTTCCCGAAAATGAGATCCATAGGCGTGAGAGCTTCCGGTTCGTCTGGATCGAGGGAAACCACCGTCAATGGTCTTTGGTTCACCATGTTTTCGATGTCGGAAAGGATGGTTGCCAGCTCGCCAAACCTCGGAACGTTCGTACCCAGAACTTTGCGTAAAGGTCGTTTAACAGTCTGAACCAGGCGTTCATACCAGCCGCCATGCCATGGACTACGTTCCGTGATGAACTCCCAACGGATGTCGAATTTTGCCAGAGCTTCCTGCACGCACTTGGACTTGATGTGAGACCTGATCAGAGCAATCTCTTTCTCGGCACGTTTGAACGTGAGAGCGTTGTCTGATATGATTTTCACGATGAATGGGAACCGATTGAAGAACCTCCTCAGCGCCAACAAAAACTGGTAGCACGAGAGATCGGGCACCAGTTCCAGGTGGATTGCTCTCGTCGATGAACAGACAAAGAGGCAAATGTAGCTTTTCGATTTCGAATTTCCCTCTGTCTTAACGGAAATGGGGCCTGCAAAGTCGGCGCCAACTATCCTGAAAGCTGCGTCGGACCCGATGCGGAATTCTGGCAGCGGAGGTGTGACCTCCTCGGCGCGTTTGGCGTTGAACTTGAGACAAACCTTACAGCCTTTGATTGTACTCCTGGCTAGTCTGCGAGCTCCCAATATTAGCACCCTCGTGCGGAGATGATGCAGGATTAGGTTGACCCCTCCTGAATGACAACAGAGAGCACAGTGAACCCACAAGATGTAGAGGGACACCGCTGGATCTGAACCGGGCAATATAATCGGGCACTTTTGATCGAATGAAAGCTCGCTGGAGCGCTCGAGACGGGACCGACACCGGATGAGTCCGCTATCGTCTATGAACGGTCTTAGTTGGAACAGCCTGCTCGTCTTCGAAACGTTCGAGAGACCATTCTGAAGCTCGCTTTCGAAGTGGACTTCTTGAATATTACGGAAAAGCCGTAACTGTGTCTCCGCGAACTCTTCTGAGGACACGTGAGGTGCCGTTTCAATGGCCCGTTTCCGGGTCCGGTTAACGAAACGGATTACAGAAGCCAGTGACCTCACTAGCTTCGACCATGACGAAAATCGTACCGCGTCGATGATCATTTGCGGTGGAATCTGCGTGCTCGCAAGAGCAACAATTTTCTTTTCTTCCGAAAGGTTTTCCGGATGGCTCGGATTGCTGAGGATATGTTCGAAATCCGTAGGGAACGGGTTTGTCAGGAAAGGAGGTCCCGAAAGCCAGATCGAAAGCGTGTCCGGGTCGGATAAGGGTGTGCCTCTGCTTAGTATGTCCGCAGGATTGAGCTCTGACGGGATGTACTTCCAGTCCCTCGGACTGGTCCTCGATCGAATTTCCGAAACTCTGTTTGCCACGAAGGGCTTCCATCGGTCTGCCTCGCTGCGGCACCAACCTAGAACGGCGGCGTTGTCGCAGTGGAAGGTCGATCCGTCGAAATCGAGCGTGGACGAATGGATGATTTTCTCGTGTAGTCGAACACCGATCAATGCTGCTAATAGCTCTAGCCTGTGGATGTTTAGATTACCCTTCAGGGGCGCGACCCTCGATTTAGCGATGAGGAAGGAAACCCTGACTGAGGAATCCTCGCGGATCTCCTTTGAGTAGATTACTGCGCCGTACGCGGACAT